CCTCTATGTCTCTCTTCCTTCCTCTGCTCTCTGTCACTTTCTGCCTTTCAAATAATTTAAAAAAAGAAAAGGAAGGAAAGGAGGGAGGGAGGGAGGGAGGGAAAGAAAAGGAAAGAAAGAAATCCTGGGCTGGTGCTGTGGCTCAGCAGGTTAAGTCATGGCCTGCAGTGCCAGCATCCCATATAGGAGCTGGTTCAAGTCCATGCTTCTCCATTTTTGATCCAGCTCCCTGCTAATGTGCCTGGAAAAGCAGCAGAGGATGGCTAAGTCCCTGGGCTCCTGCATCCACATAGGAGACCCAGATGTAGCTCCTGGCTTTGTCCTGGCCCAGTCCTGGCTGTTGTGGACATTTGGGAAGTGAACCAAATGGATAGGAGATACCTCTCTCTCTCTCTCTCTCTCTCTCTGAATCTACCTGTCAAGTAAATAAATAAATTTTTTTTAAAAAAGGGAAATCCTGTCATATGTTATCACATAGATGAAACTTAAGTGTACAGTAGTAGGCTAAGTGAAATAAGCCATACATGTATACATAAAACAATGCATGATTCTGTTACTGGTGATTGCTGGAACATAGTTTCTTGTCTTTGTATAAAAAAGACTTTCAGATATGAGGGAGATCAGCAGTAAGTAAGCCAGTGAAGTTAAATGAAGTGAATACACCTGGCAGGCCAGGCCGGCATCTCAGCAAAGAATTAAGAGCCAGGTCTGTGTTTAGACTGAAGTTTTTATGGGTATGGGCCTACTGTTTCTCCTCCCACCTCCCTTTTCTGGGATGTTGCTGGGCAGAGGGCTTAGCTGCCATGGGATTCCTGAAATTCCTTCCAGGGCTTGTGCAGCAGAGTTATGGGACCTAATTGCCCCCTTGGTGTAGGGCTGGGAAGATTCCCCTGAGCTGTCCCCAGGGGAAGACTAGGACCCAGCTATTAGACATGTGGGCCTGCTGGGCTGCTTCCAGGGCATGCTTCTCTGTTTCTTCCCTCACTCAGCCATACCAAATTCCCGCTTTGTTCATTGGCCAGTCTCACACACATGGAATAATATCGACCTTAGCACCTAACAATCACACTAAGGTGGTGTATCTAAAGTTGTCAAACTCTTCCAAACTGAAAGTAGAATGGTGGTTGCCAGTGGCTGGATGGAGGAGGAAATGGGGAGTTATTGTTCAATGGGTATAAAGTTTCAGTGAGCTTCTCTTTTATGCAAGATGAATAAGTCCTAGAAATTCATACAATCTGCATAGGGTTAACAATACTGAGTGTTCACTTGAACATTGTTAAGATGGTAAAATTGTTACATGTTTTTTTCCTATGTGGTAAATAGGGATCTTCAGAAGTTTCATGGCAATGAATAGTATGGAAAACGTATGTGTCAGCAGAGAATTAGACATGAGCCACTGAGTAGGGCCTCGACTCTTCCTCTAGGAGTGAAACCAAGGAAGCTGCTCTCCACTTGGGGTCAACCAAGATCACCCACTTTGCTCTTTGAGCGTAAAGTATCCTGATAAAATGGGAACAAAGCCATACCAGAAGTCTAGTTTGTAGCCACATGCCCAGAGAGTGCAAAGGTGTGCAACTTGCACATTTCAACCACAAAGGCCATTCATGAGCATCACAGCCTCATTATCAGGCAATACCCTTTAGGAATAAAAGCCCCAGCAAGAAGAGATGCTGTGTGCTCTCTCGACTGGCCCATTTCTCCCTTGGAATGTACTTTAATAAACTTTGCTTTCCTATCCCTACTTTCATCTCACTGAGCTGTGTGTAATTCATTACTCTGCTGGCAAAAAAAGAATCAAGGTGAGCCAGCTGCTGCCAATGACAGTACCTGCAGTGATTTTGGTGCAATGATTTCTGCAGCAAAATAAACCCATACTGACTTGTTAGAATATATCTGATCTGAATCTAGTTTAAGGCACTGAGAAGAACAAGACATCAGTCTGAAAACAGTCCTTATCAGAGCAACATGAATTCTGCTAATTTTGAAACCAAACAAACATCCAATTTATGGTAAAACGTCAGTAGGAGAATAGTAAAATAGTTGATGCCTTAAGAGAAATATTTGGGGACAATGTCCAAAAGAAACCAGTGGTTCACAAAAAGGACAACTAATTTTAAGAGAGGATGAGATAGGGCCAATGCCATGGTGTAGCAGGTAAAGCTGCCCGTTTGCAGTGCTGGCATCCCATTTGGGCACTGGTTCGTTTCCTGGATGCTTCATTTCAGATCCAGCTCTGCTATGGCCTGGGAAAGCAGCAGAGGACTGCCCAAGTCCTTGGGCCCTTGTGTGCACATGGAAAACCTGAAAGAAACTCCAGGGTCCTGGCTTTGGATCGGCCCAGTTCCGGGCATTGTGGCATTTAGGGAGTGACCTGATGGGTGAAAGACTTCTCTCTCTGCCTCTGTAACCCTGCCTTTAAAATAAATATGTAAATCTTTATAAAGAAGAAGGAGGAGGAGAAGGAAGAGGAGGAAGACGAAGAAGGAAATGGAAGAGAAGAAGGAGGAGAAGGAGAGGAGGAGGAAGAGAAGGAAGAGGAAGGAGAAGAAGAGGAGGGGGAAAGGGAGGGGAGACGGAAGGGGAGGGGGAGAGACATGATGATGTTGAAGGTGAAGTCCACAGTGGTAGACCATCCAGGTCAATGTGCATAGAAAAAAGTTAATCTTGTTCATGGTCTATGGCCAGTTGGAGAGGACTGAGGATTAACAGCATAAACAATAATTGACACCATAGACGTCTCAAATGGTTCAACTTACAGAATTCTGACTGAAAAACGAACATCGAGTGACCTAAGGCAGAAAGATGGTGGCCACAAAGATGAAAAAGTTGCTGGAGTGGATCAACTCCAGCTTGTGATGAAAATTGGAAGATACGTGTTAGGGTACACGCAGACCTTGAAGATGGTCAGACAACGCAAAGCCAAATTGACCATCCAACTGTCCAGCTTTGAGGTAACTGAAGGAAAAACTGAGCATGTGTCACCCATTGCAAATGCATCAGGAACGAATATCCAGGAGTGTATACTTGTAATCTGGGAAATATGGAATAGAGTATTATGCCATGTTGGCAAATCTGGTGTCTGTCACTGCAGTGGCAACAGTATCGATTGGGCACAGTGTATGGAAAATAGTACTGCAGAGAATGTACTCTGGCCATCACTGATCCAGGTGATTCTGATGTTATTAGAAGCATGCTAGAACAGACTGGTGAAAAGCAAATCATGCAAATTTTTCCTTTAATAAAACCTGCTGGAGCATTTTAAAAAGAAGAAAATTAAGTTGAGCAAACGTTGTGCTTAATGAGTGCCAAAACTGTTGTATCCAGATCAGCTGCAGTCAAGAGCAGAACTCAATGGAAATTTTCAAGTGGGATCAAGATCCTGAAGCATTTCCTAGAAGAATTGGAACCCAAGATGAAACATGGTTTTGCCAGTACAATCTTGAAGGTAAAGCAGTGGCTCCCAAGAGGTGGGAGTGGCTCAGTCAAAGCAAAAGCAAACTGGTCAGCAGCAAAGGTCATGGCAAATTTTTTGAGATGCATAAGGAATTTTACTTGTTTACTCTCTGGAAAGCCAAAAAAAATAATAGCAACTGGTTATTAAGAGTATTTTGAAAGTGTCAAGGCTTTAGCAGAAAGATGCTCAGAAATCTTCACTGGCGAGTCCTCCACCATGACCACACTCCTGCTTGTTCCTCTCGTTCTGCAAGGACAATTTTATGGGAGTTTCAATGGGAAATCATTCAGCATCTACCTTTTAGTCTTTATCTGGCTCCTCTGACTTCTTTTTGCTGCCTGATATTAAAGAGATCTTTTTAAAAGAAAAATCATTTAGTTTTTTAAAGGCAGAGAGAAAGGGAAAGAACTCCCATCTGCTGGTTCACCCCCCAAATGCTTGAACAGCTGGTGGAGGTTAAAGTTGGGAGTCAGAAACAATCCAATAATTGAGCCCTATTTTGCTTCCAGGCTCTATATCAGCAGGAAGTTGGGGAGTGAGGAGTGGAGCTGGTTATTGAGTGCAGGCATTCTGATGTGGAAGATATGAGACTTGGGCATCTTAACCTCTAGATCAAATGTTTGTTCCATAAAATAATCTTTAAAGGACACACATTTTTCAATTAATGTAAAGAGACTTCATTGACATAGTTAGATTTGATTCCCAGGATCCTTTGCTCTTTACCAATGGACTAAATGCCTGGTGTCATCACTTAAAAAATGTTGAATTTGATGTAACTTATGTTGAGAAATAAAATTTTGTATTTTATATTTTTTAAAAGAAGTCTTTTTTTAAAGATGAATTTATTTAAAAGGTAGAGTTAAAGACAGAGAGAGGGAGAGAGAGAGAGGTCTTTCATCTGCTGGTTCATTCCCCAAATGGCCACAACAGCTGAAGATGGCCAATCTGGAGCCAGGAGCCAGGAGCTGCTTCTGGGGCTCCCATGTAGGTGCTGGGGTCCAAGCACCAATTGGAAGTGGAGCAGCCAGGACTCCAACTGGTGCCCATATGGGATGCCAGTGCCGCAGCTAGAGGCTTAACATACTATGCCACAGCACTGCCCCTATTTTCATCCTTTAATTCCATTTTTTCAAGTACTTTTTGAAGTCCCTTCTTATTTTGTGCTTGGTTCTGTTTCCTGGCACAGAGCTCCTGAAACCACTTGAAATCTCTGGAGTGGCATGATTGTCTTTTGTCTGCTAGTGAGATGAACAGTGGCCTCTTGATAGTTTTGGGAAGGGGGATGCTCATCAGGAAGACCACTGCATGATGAGGATTGGAAGGTCCAACACCCCCTTTTCACCCCCCCCACTCCTACCTTTAATGAGCTTATCTATTCAAGTTCATTGTAGCCCCAGTTACCTGTGTTTGGTGATGAAGTCTATTTTCTCACCTTGACTCGGGGGGGATATGTCTCCCAAGAGAATCTTTGTGACTTGATGCATGTAGGAAAAGATGGGCCAGATGGCCTGTTCTTTCTGTTTCTTCTTTCTTTTCTTTTTGGCAGGGACCCAACTACTTGAGCCATCACCTGCTTCCTTCCAGGGTGCACCAGGTGGGAGCATTTGTCACTTTCTCTTTCATCGTTACTTCTTTTTCCTGTCTTGTGTTGCCTGCTACCCTCAGCACAATGCTGAGTGGTTGGATGTCAGTTGTCATCCCACTCTTATTATTTTAATGGAAATGATTGCAAGGTGTTACAGTTGTGTTTGACATTCCTCGTAAGATTTTTGATACATTCTCCTCTTCAAGTGTTTAGGTGGAGATGCTTTAATCTCTCCCTGTTATTTCTTCAACAGGAGGAACATTAAAACCGTGGATTCCTAAAGGTGAAGATGAAGCAAAGGTGGAAATGGCCTCTGGTGTTGAAATAGATAAGGAACAATTAGAACCACAATCTGATGATGATACGTAAGACCAGATTTTTGTTACATGCATGGGTTCATTTTAGGACTTTTCATTCTTCTTCAATGGCATTATTTTTTATATTTGCATCAGTGATAGTGTCTTTTTTATTTTTTATTATTTGAAAGTCAGAGTTATACAGAGAGAGGAGAGGCAGAAAGAGAGAGGTCTTCCATCCGATGGTTTACTCCCCAATTGGCCACAATGGCTAGAGCTGCGCTGACCCAAAGCCAGGAGCCAGGAGCCTCCTCTGGGTCTCCCACAAGGGTGCAGGGGCCCAAGGACTTGGGCCATCTTCTACTGCTTTCCCAGGCCATAGCGGAGAGCAGGATTGGAAGTGGAGCAGCTGGGTCCAGAACTGGCGCCCATATGGGATGCCGGCACTCCAGGCCAGGGTGTTAACCCACTGCGCCACAGCGCCGGCCCCCAATGTCCTTTTTTTTTTTTTTTTTTAAGATTTATTTGTTTATTTGAAAGGCAGAATTACAGAGAGATGGAGAGGAAGAGACAGAGAGAGATCTTCCATCCTCTGGTTCACTCCCTAAATGGCCACAATGGCCAGGGCTGGACCAGACTGAAGCCAGAAGGCAGGAGCTACATCCAGGTCTCCCACATGAGTGCTTGGACCCAAGGATTTGGGCCATCTTCCACTGCTTTCCCAGGCACATTAGCAGGCTAGATCAGAAATGGAGCAGCTGGGACTCAAACCGGCACCCATACAGAATGCCGACATTGTAAATGGCAGCTTAACCCATTACACCACAATGATGGCCCCTGATATGCTTTCTTAATTACTGTGGCTTTATCATACCTTTTCATATCTGGTAGGGCTAGAACACACACCTTCTTCTAGTCTCTATATCTTTTTCTTAACTATTATTGCCCTTTACTTAATATATACACATCTTTGCTTTCTCTTATAAAGTGTCGTAGAAGCTTTTGTTAGAATTTTGATGGAACTCACATTACATTTATTGATTCATTTATGGGAATTGACATTTTTGTGATTGAGTCTTTAAAACAGTTCTTAAAATTATTTTTAAAGATTTATTTATTTGAAAAAAAAAAAAGAGAATCGAAAATGAATCTTGATGTGAATGGAAGGGGAGAGGGAGTGGGAAAGGGGAGGGTTGCGGGTGGGAGGGACGTTATTGGGGGGAAGCCATTGTAATCCATAAGCTGTACTTTGGAAATTTATATTCATTAAATAAAAGTTAAAAAAAAGATTTATTTATTTGAAAAAGAGGAGGAGAGAGAGAGAAAGAGAGAGAAAGAAACAGAGATCTTGTATCTACTGGTTCATTCCCCAAATGCCAACCACAGCCAGAGCTGGACCACGCCAAAGCCAGGAGCCAGAAACTCTATCCTGGTTTCCCACATGGGTGTCAAGGACCCAAACACTTGGGCCATCTTCTGCTGCCTTCCCAGGTGCATTAGCAGGGAGCTGGATCAGAAACCAAGAGGCCAGAGCTGGAACTGGTGCTCCAATATGGGACGTCGGCATTGCAAGTGGTGGCCTAATCTGTGCCATAATGCCATCCTGTAATTTTTTTTGATCAACCAAATTGTATATATTTATGGTTTCTGACATGATGTTTTGAAATGTTATATGTTATGGAAAGACTAAATCAAGCTAACCTCATGTATTTATTTATTCGTAGTGAGACTGTTACCCCCATTTTTAGGGTCAGGGGACCCCAAAAGCAGGTAATCTAAACAGTCCGTGTCATGAAACCAATCATGAAAGCAAAGCTGATCAATAGCACAGGTGTTGTTCTGTGGCCAAAGCATGGAAAAAGGAGAGCCTATGTTGCAATTCTCAATCTTCTGGGTGCTGAGGGGTCGTAGATAGAGGGTAAAGGGCGTGAGGGGGAGGGGGGGCCTGCTAAAAGCTGGGGAAATCATGGTAATTCTGTGGATTGGGGAACTGACTTTTTTTCATGACTTCATTTGCTGGTTGTCATGAGAACTGTCAACTGTCTTGGCTGTGGTGAGAGTGACAGAACCGAGATTATAATGAGGCTCGAGGTCTGCTTTAGGTCCTATTGGCAGCGGTCTTGGATCTTTTAAAACCAGTTCTGGGGAGAACCTTCTGCCCTGAAGTCATTCTGCTTTTAAAGAGAAACAATGTTAGAGTGGGGTAGAAACTCAGGCATTGCCTCAGTAGCAAGAGCACTTAAAGTCTACTGTTTCAGCACTTTTCTTTTTTAAGATTCATTTTATTTATTTGAAAGGCAGAGTTAGAGAGGGAGAGACGGGGGTGGGGAAGGAGAGAACCAGGGAGAGGGAGAGGAGAGGTAGAGAGAGGGATCTTCCATTCACTGAATTTACTACCCAAATGGCTACAACATCCTAGGCTGGGCCATGCCGAAGCCAGGGAGCCTGGAATTCCATACAGGTCTTCCCCCTTGGTGGAAGGGGCCCAAGCGCTTGGGCCATCTTCTGCTGCCTTCCCAGGTGCATTATCAGGGAGCTAGTTTGGAAGTGGAGCAGCTGGGACTTAAACCCATGCTTATATAGGATGTTGGCATTGCGGGTGGCAGCCCAACCCACTCTGCAGCTGATATTAGCACCTACAGTTTTCAGAAATACAATACAGTGTCATTAGCTCTAGTCACCGTGTTTTACAATAGATTTCTGGCTTTTATTCTTCTTAACTACAGCTTTTTATCCTTGGACCAATTGCCCTTCCCCCCCAGCACTGGTAACCACCATTCTACTTGCTGATTCTGTGAGTTTAATTGTTTTACATGTACATTGTTTTGCATATACATGTAAGTGAGATCATGTTGTATGTGTCTTTCTGTGTCTCTTTTTCACATAGAATAATGTTCTTCAGGTTCATCTATGTTGCCACAAATCAATCACATTAGTTCCTTCCCTTTTAAAACTGAACAGTATTTCATTCTGTCTACATAATACATTTTCTGGGTCAGGTGTTGGACAGAGCTGTTAAGGCACCAGTTGGGGTACCCACATCCCATAACAGAGTGCCTAATCTGAGTCGCAGCTACTCTTTTTCCATTCTACCTTCCTACTAAGGCACACCCTGGGGAGCAGCAGATGATGACTCAAGTACTTGGATCCCTGGCACCCATCTGGGAGACCTGGATGGAGTTCAGGCTCCTGACTTTACCCTGATCCAACCTGGGATGGTACGGGCATTTGAGCAGTGAACAAGCAGATGGAAGCTCTCTGTCTGGCTTCCAGTTAAAAAATTAAAATAAATACGCCGGCGCCGCGGCTCACTAGGCTAATCCTCCGCCTAGCGGCGCCGGCACACCAGGTTATAGTCCCGGTCGGGGCGCCGGATTCTGTCCCGGTTGCCCCTCTTCCAGGCCAGCTCTCTGCTGTGGCCCGGGAGTGCAGTGGAGGATGGCCCAAGTGCTTGGGCCCTGCACCCCATGGGAGACCAGGAAAAGCACCTGGCTCCTGGCTCCTGCCATCGGATCAGCGCAGTGCGCCGGCCGCAGCGCGCCGGCCACGGCGGCCATTGGAGGGTGAACCAATGGCAAAGGAAGACCTTTCTCTCTGTCTCTCTCTCACTGTCCACTCTGCCTGTCAAAAAAAAAATTAAAAAAATGTAGAACTTTTCGGTATCCACTAAGGGTGGGGGGTTAATGAAACCGGTTTTTTTTTTTTTATCTGTTTTAGCGAAAAAGAGGGCCAGTGGAAAAACAGGGAGAGAAAGAGCCAAAAAAAGGCCCCTTTCTGCGGTGGGGCCCCCCCCCCCAAAGCCCCGCAGATGGTGCGCTGAGGTCAGCGCACTGCGCTGATCCGGAGGCTGATCCGAAGCCGGGAGCCAGGTGCTTCTCCTGGTCTCCCATGGGGTGCAGGGCCCAAGTACTTGGGCCATCCTCCACTGCACTCCCGGGCCACAGCAGAGAGCTGGCCTGGAAGAGGGGGACTAGAACCTGGTGTGCCGGCGCCGCAGGCGGAGGATTAGCCTAATGAGCCGCGGTGCCGGCTGATGATTATGAATCTTAACATCCATGAATGTAGTAGAGCTCTCCCTTGTTAAGTTTTAGGATTTTAGGGTTCAAAGAAGGTGAGGAGGTGGGTAGTTAAAGTAAAAATACATTATTTTAAAGGGGACAGAATGGGGGAGATAAAGAGAGTGGAGGTTCAGCCTGGGCAGGGGGTTGGAAGCCAGGTTTCATTCCATTTGAGAAGCCAGCAGAGTCCCTTCCTAAGTGCCTTGTTGGGGGAAGTGCAGAGCGCCAAATGGGTGGGAGACCTGCAGAGAGGCTCCTTGGTGAAGTTTACAAGCAGTGTTTTAACAGTTTGGAATGTCCCCAGGTGAGGGGCTTTCCAAAGCAGTAAACATTCCAGTAGCCTTTAGATGAACTATCTGCACCCAGTTTCATCAGGCCTGGGAGTTCAGGCCCAGTGTTCTCACATCCATCTATTTATGTTTCTCTCTTTTTCGAATTTCTCATGATTTTTCTAATTTTTTCATGGTGTAGGTTCCATTTAATTTTTACTGGCTATTCCATTATTAATGGGATCATTTTTCCCCTACTGTGTTTCTGAATTGGCTATTGTTGTACATAGAACACTACTGATGTTTTATCATGTCACCTAAGTGAATGCTCTTATTAGTCTAAAATTTGGAGTCCTGTGGATTTTAAAAATTCTATTACACTTTTCTTTTTTTAACAGGCTTTATAGCCACATGGCTCCAAATTTAAAAGCCACACTCTTATCACAGTCCTCCCTACCATCTCCATTTCACCCATAACATCTGTCTTCTTGGAGTCAACCAATCCAATCTGCTGCTTTTTTTTTTTTTTAAGAGTTTATTTATTTATTTGAGAGGTAGAGTTACAGACAGTGAGAGGGAGAGACAGAGAGAAAGGTCCTCCTTCTGCTGGTTCACTGCCCAAATGGCCACAATGGCCGGAGCTGCGCTGATCCAAAGCCAAGAGCTGGGTGCTTCTTCCCGGTCTCCTGTGCAGGTGCAGTGGCCCAAGCACTTGGGCCATCTTCTACTGCCTTCCCAGGCC